TTTATGTGTATGGTTGTTTTGCTTGATTGTATGTGGTTACACCAGTTGTATGCTTGGTGCCCTTTAGAGGCCAGAAAAGGGTGTCAGGTCCCCTGGAACTGGAGTTGCAGATGGTTGTAGGAATTGAATCTGGGTCATCTGGAAGAGCAGTCATTGCTTTAAGTGCTGAGGGCCCAGGGTTGTTTCGGTTCATTTGTTCATTTCTTTGTTTGTTATTTGAGACAAGGTCTCACTATGTAGTTCAGGCTTCCTGAAACTCACTGTTAGACCAGTGGCCTCACACTCACAGAGATCCATGTGTATGTGCCTCCCAAATTCTGGGATTAAAGGCATGCACTGTCATGCCCAGCAAGATGCTTGCCTTGTTGCGTGGGTTCTGGGATTCAAACTCTGCTCCTTACGATTGCACAGCAGGTACTCCCAACTACTGGGCATCTCTCCAGACCCTTAAGAGATTCTGAGTCTGAGTCCAGGTCAGGGCATCCAGGGGTTGCTGATACAGGTGTCCTCAAGGTCAACAGTAGTGCTTTTGCATACCTGGGAAACAGGGTGGCCTTCAAGACTGGGGAGAAGAGTATAGAGATAGGCGGTAAGGAGTATTGGGGGAAGAGGAACAGAAGTTGGGGAAGGGGTGACTTACAAGTTGGGTCACCTAGCACAGGATGTTGAGAGACTGAAGAGTCTCCTCCCCTTCCCTCTCCAGAACTCTGCTGCTGCCTCAGGGCACAGCTCAAGCTTGCCTCCACCCAGAGGCCCCATCCTACACTTACATTGTGGCCTTGTTTTACAGCTTTAGACCTTGTCCTGATTGGGGTGGGAATAGAGGGAAACATCTAGGTCTCTTGTCTTCTTTTCCCCAACCCAGGATGTCTAGTTCCTCACCCTGGGGCCTGCAACAGTATTGCCTTTGCAGAGAATTAAGTTCATAGGCACCAATTAAGAAAATTAAGGAACTAAGGTTGCTGCTAAACTGACCTTAAAATAAAGAGACTCTTTTGGGCCAGTTGAGTGGACCCAGTTTGTCATAAGGGTCCCTGAAAGTGGAAAAGAAGGGAGGAGAGAGAAGCCATGCTGACAGGAACAAACAAAAAAACAAAGCAAAGAGCGTTCGGTTCCATGGCAAGTTCTGGGAATGGAAAGTTGCCCACAGCCTAGCGATGTTGGAAGCTTCTAGAAGCTGAAAAATGAGGTGATCTTTTTGAACTCCCCCTCAGAAGAAATACAACCTGGGGAACAGATTGATTTTAATCCACTAAAATGCATATCAGACTCAGACAGTCAGAACTGTAAGATGAGGATTTGTTTTAAAGCAACTCCCTGGCAATCTGCTTCAGGAGCAATGGGACCAGGAAAGCCCTGGTCTAAAGCTTTATGTGGAGTCAAACACCCGTGTTCAAATCCTAGCTAATGTGCTCACCAGTTATGTAGCCCTGAGCAGACTGGTTTCTGTCTGAGTCTCATTTCCCTCATCTATAAAGCTGGGATGACCCCGTAGCATAGGGTTGATATAAGAATGGAATCAGGCATTGTAGTGCCTACCATTAACCTCAGCACTTAGGAGGCAGAGGCAGGCATGCAGATATATGAGTTCAAGGCCAGTCTAATCTTCATGGTGAGTTCCAGAACAGTTAGCTTTATGTAGACCCTGTCCCTGTCTCAAAAAAGAAAGAAAAAAGAAGAAGAAATAGAGCATGCAAGCTGTCTCAGCGGGAAAGGTACTTGCTGGGCGAATCTGGTGACAGAGTTCAGTCACTGGAATAGATGTGAAGATGAAAGAAGAAAATCACCACCACGGAGTGATCTTCTGACCTCCACACATGCACCATGGTACATGTGCCCATGCATGCACACAGTGTTTTTTCTTAAACTTAAAACCAGAGCATGCATTGGTGGATAGCCACATTATTGGTGGCTAGTGTAGATATTGAGGTCCTCCAGGTTCTTCCAGAACCCTCAAGGAGGTGTTGGTGCTGGACACATTGGGAACTGAAGAGTCTTACTCTTTGGAGCCATCGTCAATCCACACCTGGCGCCTATTGAGCCCACGGCACCACGAGGAATCTATGTGACCTTCGCAGAGTCTCCTTGGCTACAAGCAGGAGCTAGTTAACACACAGCTACTGAAGACACAATCCAGGAAAGGCTCCCTGCAGCCAAACTGCAGATGGCTAATTACAGGCATTGCTTACATTGCCAGGACCCCCGGGGAGCCCCTCAGATCCTCCATCCTGGTTAGCTTCAAATTAGGGAGTAATTTGAGTTCCTCCAAACCCCGATGGTAATACACAGTGCTCCATCACCATTTCCCAAGTCAATCTGCCCAGTTTCTGCCTTGACTTGCGTCATCAGATGGCGGGATGGGAAGTTCTAACTCCAGGCTTAGTATCATCAATCTATCAGTCCATCATCATCATCATCATCATCATCATCATCATTATCATCTCCTCACTGGCTCTTTTTCAGGACCTACTAAGTGCCAGGTATTTTACTGGGTCTCATCGTCTCCAAGCTTCACGAAGTTGTAGACTATATGATTCTCAAGGTTAGGAAGTGGAAGTACTCACTTTGACCTCCAGGTCTGGGTCAGAGCCTGTGCTCTTCCTACCCTCCATCTTGAGCTGGCCTCCGAGTGGCCTTGGCATTCGTTATTCCTGTGTGCTGGAGACCTTACGTGTAGACCCCATGGGCTATTTATCCTGCTTCCCAGCTGCCTGGGTTCCTGGGGAGATGGTGGGTAACTCAAGGTCTTGTGACCTAGGACTCTGTCTCGGAGCAGACTTCTGCATCAAAGCAAATGGCAGCCAGTAGCTTCCAAAGCAGCCGAGGAAGGCTCACAACTCTTCAGGGGCAATCCCAGAAGCAGGTGTCTATGCTATGACAGGATAGGGACAGTCAGGGCTCAGTCCAGTGGGGTCCATGGACTGCAGTCATTGTGACCGGGCTGGTATAATGCAGCCATGTGGCGATGCTTGTCTGTAATCCCAGCGTTTCGACATTTGGGCAGCAGGATCATGAGTCCAGGGCCAGTTTGGGCTTACATAGTTTCAGGTTGAGTTACATAGGAGACTGTGTCTTTAAACCTAAGTGGGGTGGGGTGGAAGGACCTGGTCCCATTCAGTTCCATCCTCCTTATCCCACCCTGCCCTGGGCAGTAGCTGGTTCTCTTTGGCAAAAGGGCAGAATCCTGCAGGTAGATACAGGGCAATGCTTTTCTTGACGTTACAGCAGTGTGTGACAGGCTCGTGTTTTTATAGAACTGTAGGTTTTATTGAAGTTTGTAAAGATCAGGGGATTATGAGGCTTCTAGGATTCCTGAGACCACTGTATAGTGTCACTGCTAAAGGAAAAAAGTCCCAGCACCAAAGACCTAGCAATGGCTCTATTTTCTCTTACTACATGGGCTTAACAGAGGACGTGCACTAAGGAATCCTTCTACCAATGTGTCTGAGGCTTGGTGGGTTTGCTGGGTGCCTATTCCAGGTGGAGATTTGTGCTTTGGCTAGCAGAGGTCTAGGACCGTTTTCTGGTCCCTGGTATCCTGGAGGGAGTTCACAATGCCTTCACTGGTTCCTGAAGGTGTGCAAGGCAATGGTGCAGGCGCAGTGTCTGTGTGGCCTGTTAAGCTGGGCCACCCTGGAAGGGAGGTGCTCTCTGCAACCTGGAGGTGGTCAGGTAGTCTTATACTCTCCCCTCCCCCGTGTGACATCATGGAAAGACAAGTACACTCTAGACCCCAGGCGTGACATCCAGTGCTGGCAGATGGCGGCCCCAGAACAAGTGGCCGTCTTCCTGTAACATAAGACCTCCAGCTAGCCGCTGATGCAGGAGACAGCTGAAAACGGCCCATTACGTGCTGGCATTTCTTGGAAGGATCCTAGGCTAACACTGTCCTAGAGCAGCTTGTTCTCTGGAGAAGACAGGTCCCCTACATCACAGTGAGGTCGTGTCCCTTGGGTCACGTTTGTGATGGACTTCCAAGGGCTCTGCTTTGGAGGACTCTGTCGCAGCCCCTGACATCAGCATCACACTCACTCATAGCCCAGTCATTCTTTAGTGGTTAGGTTCTGTCCACAGCCTCTGGGCCTCGGGGCCCCAAGTTTCCCCACTTGTAACTGAGGGGCTGGACTGGAGAACATCCTACAGCTTGGCATGTGTAGTATAGTGTGTAAATGAACACAGCAAGGTTTCATGAGCGCTCCCAGGAGTAGAAGGAGTTCACGGGTATGGTCCAGCGCTTGGTTGACAATTGGGGTCACACATCCTATCCTGCCCAGGCTTTGACCCCTAATCCCCCAGCTCTGTGGGTCTGTGGAGCAGGTTCCATTTGCTCATCTATTTTAGTATTAACCAGGGAACTTTGCATAACACTGATGCCTGGACAATTCTGGATAGGGTATATCTATATCCGTATGTATGTATGTATGTATGTATGTATGTATGTATTATGTATTAATAGGCTCTGAAGTGTTTTCTGACAAGTGTGGCCAGGGCCGAGACCCACTAACCCAGATATTAGATGCCGGGAAGAAGGATTTGAGGCTAGGAGTGCAGTCCCTTGTCAGTTTGTCCTTGCCTCTGATGGCCCTAAGTCAGAACTGCAGTGCAGACCTGAGGGACTCCAATGAAAACCACAGGAAAGAGGTTCAATGTTCGGTGCCTCCTGGTGCCTAGCATGTACCCGAGGTGGTGATAGCTAGAAGTGGGGTGCCCGATTCTTTCTAAGCCCCCACCCCCAGGCATCAGTATTAATTCAAGTCCGAGTGTCTGCGGCGAGGCTGCTCCCCGACTCCACCTGCAGCACAAGGAAAGCCGAAGGGATAGAGGGTGTGTGGAGGGATCCCTACCACCCTCATCCTCCTGCTGGCAGGCGGTTCCTCAGCAACGGCCCAGCCTGACACCAGATTGGAGTTCACATGATTCTGCCTCAGCTCGGGAATGGGCAGCCTCCAGCTGGGGATTTTCTAGATGAACCGGGAAGGTTTTCTGCAGGAATTGAGAGAGGGAGAGCTTGTCCGGGGGCAGGGTTGTCCGTGTACTGCCAAGCTGAGCTGTAGGAGTACAGCTAGTTGAGGTTTGAGGGTAGAGCTCCCTAGACGGGCTGAGTCAGAGCCCGCTCTTGCGGGTTCTTCTGCAGAGACTCGGGCTGCTGAGGTTGGACCTCACTGCTTGTTTCCCATCAGCCCTGGCTGTAGACACCCTGCTGCCTTCCTTTGTGTTTCCAGAGGCTCCAGAAAAGCCAGGCAGTGTGGGTATGGGACTGGATAGTTTCCAAAGTGGCCTGCTTGTGGGACAGAAATCAGTCTAATAGCCCAAGACCTGTGTATAAAGAAAATGAAATAGAAAATACCAGCATGCATGACAAGCATCAAGGTAAGCATTGTCTGGGGGAGTTTATTTCTCAGTCCATGTGTGTGTATGTGTATGTGTGTGTGTACAGGGCCACACAGTCAAGTGTATTGTTTGCTATTGCTTGCTATTGTTTGGGGTCTATTTTTATTGTTGGTTTTTTTGTTTTTTGTTTTTGGATTGTTTGTTTGTTTGTTTGTTTGTTTTTTGAGACAGGGTTTCTCTGTGTAACAGCCCTGGCTGTCCTGGAACTAACCCTTGTAGACCAGGCTTGCCTCGAACTCACAGAGATCCACCTGTCTCTGCTTCTCTAGTGCTGGTATTAAAGGTGCATGTCACCACTGTCAGGCTTTTGTTCTGATTCAGAATCATCCTGACTTACTGTGTAAGCTTTGGGAACTAGTTCAGCCTCCCCAGGCTTCAGGTTCTGTGAAATGGGTTAGCAATGCCAGCCCCACCCAGTTTACAGGGATTTGGTAAGCTTCAATTGGGCTGACTTTGGAACTCTTCTTGGACATTAGAAATGGGACTTGGTTATCTTTGTCATCGCGGGAGTGAGACTATTCAGGGGAAAGGTGACAACAGAAAGAAAGAACATTTTATTTCTATCCCTTCCCCGGGGAAACTTCCTCTAAAGCCAGCCTCCATAGGACAGTTGGGTGCCCTCATCCCTCTGGAAACAGCCCGTGTAAATGTCTGGATGCTTGGTCAGCCGAGGAAAGGGAAGCAGGCATACCAGAAACTTCCAGCTCTGAGTACAGGGTGCAGAAGAATGAGTGCTGGGGGAGATAGTTATTCAGGCTCCAGGAGAGCTTCTCCTAGAGGTGCCTCCTCCCTGTCAGGGCTTCATCTCTCCTGGTTTAAATCCTTGGCGGCTTCTACCCTGGCTCACATGTATATAAGGGTCTGCCCCAACTGTGAGTCACTTTGTGTGTACTTAGATGGTAGAGAGCTGTTTCTCTTTTTTTCTCCACCACAGGAGACCAAGGACTGGGTGCATAGGTAAGCTGGTGAGACAGCCTCCAGGAGCAGGAGGTTAGCCCAGAGCAATTCCTTTCTATTTTGTTGGCATTCTACAGAGTTTCTTGTCTCCTCTCTGGCCATGCCTGCCTCGTACTTACCTGCTCTCATGTCAAACTACTTTCAGTTCCCCAAAGGTACTCATTCTCTCCCTCTTGCATTTGACGGCATGCACACATTTTCCACAGGCAAAAACTCCCCGCCGTTTGGGCAGCCCTTCCTCTTTCTTTTAGCCTCAGTCTGGCTGTCACTGCTCAGAAAGGCTTCCCTTTCTGCATTTGGCTACCTCCGAAGAACTCCCACAAAATCCTGTGCTCTTCCTAGTTTACTTCATTGACCTGTTCTTCTTCATGGGAATAAAATGAAGCTGGCTGTTAGAGCCAGGTTATAGTGTAATGCCTTCCACACAATGGTCATTCAGTGACTGTTCTCGGAAGATCGTTTGGATAGATGAATATGGGTGGGTGGCTGAGTGGATGGATGGATAGAGGGGTAGATGATGGATGATGGATGGATAGAGGGGTAGATGATGGATGATGGTTGGATGGATGGGTAGATGAAAGGATGATGTATGGATAGAGGGGTAGATGATGGATGGATGGATGGCTAGATGATGGATGATGGGTGGATAGGGAAGGGATGGATGAGTAAGTGAATAGGTGGATGGGTAGATATGGGTGAATGTTTGGACAGCCAGTGTATGACTTGGTTAGATGTGTGTTTTGAAAGATGGCGTTTCGGTGGTGAGTCACAGACATGAACCTAACTTAAGGCAGTTACACTGACTTCAGGAAGTCTTGATCAAGCCAACTTTAGGTGCTGGTGAGAGAAAGGGAGAAAGGAGCAATGCTTTCAAAAACTTAGGAGTTGAAAATTCTAGAAGTTGGCAATTTTCTTAAGGCCATGAAGGAGAGGAGGGAGGAAGCTAAAGGGCATCCATTCAAGGTGAGTAACTGGGCAAGTGGGGACATCTTTTCTAAGAACAGATTAATGGAGAAAATGTGGGACCTAGTGTGGACCCCACTGGGCTTGTCCTGTGAGGTGGCAGGGGTGGTTTAAATGTAGCCTTCAGCCTAGGGGGAGTTCTGGGAGCCATCAGGCTGTAATGGGATTGGAATCATGGAAAGTGTGCATGGGCTCACAAGACTGAACCAACACTGAATGTATGTGTAAGAGATGCCCATGCATCCACCAGATGCTACTTCTCATGGCAGCAATCATTGCATGTGTCTTCCTGGCTTCTAAGCTTGGAGGTTCCCGGGGGTGGGAGCTCTGGCTTAGAGGTTCCATGGGGGTGAGAGCTCTGGGCTTAGAGGTTCCCTGGGGGGTGGGACCTCTGGGTTTGGAGGTCCCCTGGGGGTGGGAGCTCTTTCTTGTTTTATCTCTTAAGTTCCCCATGTGTGTATCCTGGCCACACTTGAACACTGTACATGTTCCTCAAATACCTGTTCCATGAAACTTAGAAGTACTGGACTGTTGGACAAGTAGCTTTGTCTTAAAGAGAAACAAAAACAGGGTTGTGAAGGTGGAAGCAGAGTCCAGATAGGAAACCCTAATAAAGTACAAACCATTTGCAAGCTAAAGAGACACCTTCAGGAATACCTGCAGTCACCACGCCATGAGGACCGCTGGAGCTACTCCCTCCAGATAGCGTCTGGAAATGCCCAGGGCCTGCGCCCCTGTTCTGCTCAAAGTTCCTGCTGGGTTTTAATCTCCTTCTAGCAGCATCTGCTCCCTGCCTCAGGAACTCATAATGGGAGGGGAACATGCTTAGAACCTGAGCCTATGACCTTCGAGACTCTTCTGGGACCTTGCTATTCAAAAAGTGTGATCCATGGTCCAGCAAGCCCACATCTTCTGCATCGCCTAGCAGCTCATTTGAGATGTAAAACTTTGAGAGCTCCTTTCTCAGACCTAGCCAGTTTGGAAACTCGTGAGTGTGAGAGGCTGTGGTTTCCTAAACTTCCAGTGGATGCAGCCAGTTTAAGAACTGCTGTTCTTTTTGCTCCACAGTGAACATGGGAGGTGCCTAAACCTGGCTGCACTAGTGCTGCTTTTTAGCTCTGTAGACTTGTATATTTCTGCCTTTGGTTGCCAGAAGTAGCTTGCTGCTGGCTTAGGAAAGAGGAAGCTACAAACGTCACCCGGCCCTACCCCACCCCACACGTCCATACACTCACCACTAGTAAACAACAGACTTGGAGCCCGGTGACTATCAGGGAATTTCCAAGACCTGACAGGGCATGCCTCAAGGAGGCTTCGTCTGCTCTGATCTGGGGAAGCCTGGGGCCTGTGCTCCTCTGCCCTTTTATTTTCCATTTCAGGTCCCCTTTATTCACTGAGGCAAGGTCTCTCAACCGAAACCAGGATTCCCTGCAGTAGCTGGCCAGCATCTTCTAGAAACCCCCATCTCTGCTGCGCAAGCCTAGAGTTACAGATGGTTTGCCATGCCCACCTGGGATTTACCTGTGTTCTGGGGGTCTGAACTTCGATACTCACACTTGCATGGCACATATGTGAAGGCCAGAGGACAACTTGTGGGATGTGGGATTTGAACTCAGGTTGTGAGGCTTGGTGGCAAGAGCCTTTATCAGCTGAGCCACGTCGCTGGTCCAAGTCTCCCCTTCGGAGCCCACTTTCCTCACCTGGAAAGAATGAGCAATGACTCTTACTTAGTCATTCAAGAAGTCCCTAAATAGTTCACACTGCTGGGGGGACATCAGTGAGAGGTGGAAAAAAAACCTCTGCTGTGTTGGAATTTGCATCCCTGCGGAGTCTGGCCATCAACAGTCACACAAGTTAAATAAATAAGACATAAATTGGAAAAGCTTATGAAGGAATCAGTCAGGATGACGAGATGGAGACAGGTGTGTGTGTGTATACACGTGTGTGCAATGTGAGTGCACACGTGTGTGTGAGAGTGTGTGTGCGTGCTGTGTGTGTGTGTATTTGAGGTGGGCGCCAGGAGAAGCCTTCCCAGGAAGCGACAGTCCAGAGGTCTCTGGCAGAGCAGAAGCCGGTGCTGTGTGGGGCGGTGCTAAAGGAAGAGAACTCTAGGAAGGAGTGGCCAGGCAAGATCCAGGTAGAGGAACCGAGGCACAGAAGGCTGCCGTGTGGCTGTCAGGTGGGGTGGCAGGCAAGGTTAGGGGAGCTAGAATCAGGGGGGTCTGCTGGGTTGACAAGGGTGCTTGGTTTTTAGTCTAGGTGTGGGAGAAGCTGTGTAAATCAAGGAGAAGGGCTGTGGCTGACACAGAGCCTGAGCGGGAGGGCGGGGGTGGTGCTGGGTGGCAGAAGAGGTCAGGTGGAGAGGAGAGCAGGATAGAGAGTGAGCGGGCCTGGAAGGACTTGAGGAAAGAATATGAGTGGGGAGAGGAGAGGGGCGAGCTAGGGTAGAGGAGGGACTGGGCTTTGACCCTGCTAGGGGGAGTTGGAATCCAGATGAGAGAAAAGGTGGCTTTGGACCAGACCCATGTCCTGCTCGTTTAAACATGCATGAGGATTCTGGCCCCTTTATCCAGGAGAACTGAACACACAGTGGTCTACCTTGTCCCAAAGGCACACATCCAACACCTCCAGGAGATGCCTAAATTTACAGGTGGGGAGCACTGACCTCTGTTTACACTATGAGTTATCAAACATGTACGTATTTTACCCTTGATGTAGTTTAATTTGTATATTAGACATAGGAAGATGTGAGCAATAACTAGTAATAAAAAGAATAATTACAATAGTATACTGTAATAAATTTATGTGAATATGGTTTCTCTCTTTCAAAATATTGTTTTTAGACAAAATTTTACTAAGCGATTAGCCCAGGCTGGTCTTGAATTCACAGTGATTCTCTTGCCTCTGCCTCATTATTGTGTAGGCCCATATTTCTATATGGTGTGGCAGCCAGGCTCTGAAGCCATGGGCCCAACCTGAGGTAGTCATGTGGCCCTGCAGACAGGCTGTCACTGCCCCAACAAAGTGTCAGGATGTTGTTGCTCCTTTCTTTGTAATTTGGAAGATACCTGATAGAGATGCTGATTCAAGCCTACGTGACAGTTAGCATACACAGCAGACAGGTAGATGCAGACGTGACAAAATGCCATTCACCTGGTTACCTAGGAGACAGAATGCTGGTGTATTTCCCTGCTCAGTTTATGTGTTGGTATAAAAGCTGTTTGGAGAATAAATGAGAAGAATTCTTCAGGATGTGAATGCAGGACTTCATGAGGGATCACTGAGAATCTCCCTCCCGATAAAGCCATGTGAGTTGTCTCTTTATTCCTGCGTCTCCATGACGATCCAGAGAGAGTTTATGTTGGGGTCTGGTCGAGAGAAATAATTTATGGTCCAGGCTAGCACCGGACCCCGACATAATTGTTGAGATTGTAGATATGTGGCCTTTAATCTCAGCACTCGGGAGGCAGAGGTAAGCAGATCTCTGTAAGTTCGAGGCCAGCCTGGTTTACAAGAGCTAGTTCCAGGACAGTTAGGGCCGTTACGCAGAGAAACCCTGTCTCACAAAACTAGAGGGGGGGGGGAAGAGACATATTACAGGTATGTGGATACGTACCACCATCCCCACATATGTGTATATAATATATGTGGCAATGATGTTTGTTTATTGTTGTTTAAGTTGTTTAAGGTGACTCAAGGTGTCATCGAAATCCCCTACTTTAGCTTCTCAAGTTCAGAATACATTAACGTGATGCACTCACCTGTCTTTTTCTCTCTACCACTGTTAACCTTGGTAACTGAGGTCAAGGTTACAGAAACCACAGGTCAGAGCAGGTGACTGCATAGTTAGCTGCAAGACTGAGTGTGACTTCAGAGAAATGCCTGTGTTAGTCCTCAGGGACCCTGGCACTGGAGCTGCAGGGTCCAGATTTCTCTGCACCACTTCCCAGGAGTCTCTAGCTCCTTTAGCCATCTCTGCTCTGGTGGTCCCAGCCAAGGAAAGATGGGAGGTAGTAGTGGAGAGAAGGGCAGAGGTGGAAGGGGAGGCGTGGCTCTGGAGAGACTTGGGGTCTGCTGAGACTTGGTCAGGGTCTCTAAGAGGATTCCCCTCAGGAGCCCAGCTAACCCTCAGCTTTCTGAAGAGTGCACAAAGGCCAGTATTGATCTGCAGAAATCACAAAGCAGAGTAATTTAGAATCTTAAGTCAGGTAGACTGTAGATTCTCAAGGGGAAGGAAAGTCAGTTCTTGGCTAGGGGTAGAATGGGAAGAAATCTGAGAGACCACAGTGTCATGTCTCCTTCCAGACGACCTCAGCATGAACACACAGGAGACCTGTGGCAGTAAGTTTCATCACGAGACAGCAAATACTGTACCTAAAACGAATTCTTCAAGGAAATAAATGCAAAAAAAAAAGGCTCAAAAATGCCAGTTGAGCAGAGGGAAATAAATGCAAAAAAAAGGCTCAAAAACGCCAGTTGAGCAGAGGGAAATAAATGCAAAAAAAAAAAAAAAAGGCTCAAAAACGCCAGTTGAGCAGAGGGAAATAAATGCAAAAAAAGGCTGAAAAACGCCAGTTGAGCAGACACTATCACCCCGGCACTGAGGAGACTACACACACGGACAAAGCTGTTCCAAAAACAATCCAACAAATAAAAAGAGGAAGAAAAGAAAAATATGACGTAGCCCCAGTGAGATTTTTCTAGCTGGGAGAGAAGAGTTGAATCAATAGAGCAGTTCAAGCCTTTACTGTTTTGATGTGTTAATTTATCAAGTACACTGGAGACAAAACATCACATTCTACCCTTAGACATCATTGTGTTCTGGAGTTCCATTTGTTAAATTCTCAACTCATGGCGTTCGGGAGGCAGAGGCAGGTGCATCTCTGTGAGTTTGAGGCCAGCTTGGTCAACAGAGACAGTTCCAGGACAGCCCTAGGCTACACAGTGAGACCCTGTCTCAAAAAACAAACAAACAAACAAACAGTCTCGACACAGTTGTCACACTAATGCAGTGAAGGAGTGAGCATCTGCCATCTGACATGGTCCCGACCGAAAGGGGAAGGTGTTTTTAGTCCCTAAATTCCAAATGAAGAAATCGAGGCTCAGAGAGACTAACAAACTTAGACAAGGGACTGGCTCTGGCTTGACCTTTGCTTATTTTGGTCCCTAGTCTAGAACCTTGCCCAAGATCCCCTGGGGAGATGAGAGAGGAGACACTTGCTGAGGGGTAGCAAGAACTCGAGTAGGGCGCTGTGATGAGAAACTGGCCTTTGTTTCTTGCCAAAGCACAGAAGGCTATGGACTAGGGTGTGTCTCTTCATATGGAGAGGTCTATGGAGTGGCTGTGGTTTCCGTGTTGGGCCTCGTTGCTACAGTCCTGTAACGTTCAGACTGTTATTGTGTAAGGTGATGGAGCCCTGGATACTCTCCTTTGGAGAGCCAGGCTTAGTTATGCTCCTAGAATCTCCTCTTTACCCCCTTTGCTTGCACCAGGGGACCATAAAAATAAATAAGGGACAGGGGATAAATAGGGAAGCCAGAGATGGGGAGCCATAAGCCACACCTCGGCGTTTTGGTATATCTCGTTCAGTTGCACTGGAGTTGCTTGGGTGGCAGAGCTTCTAAATGAGCACAGCAAGTAGAACGATGCCTGGCATACAGGTGTTACATAGCTGTGATTATTTAAAGCCTTTTCTGCCTTCACTTGTAGGGGTTCACCTACCGCCAGTGACGAACAGATTTGACACACTTGAGTCGCGTATAAACAAGATGGCAACAGAGAGATTGACCCCATCTCAAAGTCTATGAGGGGTAAGGCCCCTTCTGGCCCAAAGATGGGGAACATCACCACAGAGAACGTCTCACTACCCTGCCCCATCGACCACACCATCCACCAGACACTGGCCCCGGTGGTCTACGTGACCGTGCTGGTGGTGGGCTTCCCAGCCAACTGCCTGTCCCTCTACTTCGGCTACCTGCAGATCAAGGCGCGGAATGAGCTGGGAGTGTACCTGTGTAACCTGACCATTGCAGACCTCTTCTACATCTGCTCGCTCCCCTTCTGGCTGCAGTACGTGCTCCAGCACGACAACTGGTCCTATGGCGACTTCTCCTGCCAGGTGTGCGGCATCCTCCTCTATGAGAACATCTACATCAGCGTGGGCTTCCTCTGCTGCATCTCCATCGACCGCTACCTGGCCGTGGCCCACCCCTTCCGCTTCCACCAGTTCCGAACCCTGAAGGCAGCCGTGGGGGTTAGCGTGCTCATCTGGGTCAAGGAGCTGCTGACCAGCGTCTACTTCCTCAAGCACAAGGAAGTCATCGAGGACGAGGACCGGCACCGAGTCTGCTTTGAGCATTACCCCATCCAGGCCTGGCAGCGTGGCATCAACTACTACCGCTTCCTCGTGGGTTTCCTCTTCCCCATCTGCCTGCTGCTGGCCTCCTACCGGGGCATCCTGCGGGCTGTGCGCCGCAGCCACGGCACACAGAAGAGCCGCAAGGACCAGATTCAGCGGCTGGTGCTCAGCACCGTGGTCATCTTCCTGGCTTGTTTCCTGCCCTACCACGTGCTGCTGCTGGTCCGCAGCCTCTGGGAGGCTAGCTGTGACTTCGCCAAGAGCATCTTCAACGTCTACCACTTCTCCCTCCTCCTCACCAGCTTCAACTGCATAGCTGATCCGGTGCTGTACTGCTTCGTCAGTGAGACCACTCACAGGGACCTCGCCCGCCTCCGAGGAACCTGCCTAGCCTTCCTTACCTGCTCCAGGACAAGCAGGACCAGGGAGGCCTACCCTCTGGGTGCCCCTGAGGCCTCTGGGAAAAGTGGGGCCCAAGGCGAGGAACCTGAATTGTTAACCAAGCTCCACTCAGCCTTCCAGACCCCTAACTCACTGGGAGCGGGAGGGTCCCCCACAGTTGGGTTGGCCTAGTTATCCTTCTGTGAGGCTAGGTTAGGCCTGAGCTTTCACCAACAGGCCTTGTGGTCTGGAGCTTGCGTGGTGGTTGTCTCCCACATTGCCATGTACAGGTGCCTCTCCCCTCAGGAAGGTCCCCCTGGCTCCTGGAAGCCGGGGCACTGCTGAGCGTGTGAATGAGCCCTGTCTTCTCCTATGTCTGCTGCCACCTGGGCTGCAGGTGGGACAGAGTCAGAATTGTCACTCCAGGAAGTTTGCAAGGAGCAGGGCTGGGGCATGCAGGAGGAGAGCAGGAACCTGGGTGTTCGCCTGGCGAGCCTTACAGTACCACTGTCGTCACGGGACACCAGTCCAAACGTGCTGTGGTCTTGTGTGACACAGGAAGCTGTATTGTCACTATTAATGCTTGAGCTCAGCTCTCTAGCAAGCCTAGACCGGAAGACTGGTTAAGGTGAAGCGTGGGGGTAAGGGTTGGAGTTCTGGTGTGGATGGGGCAGGAGCAACAGCAGAGTGGCCATCCTGGAGAAGATCCAGGACCAGACACATCTCACTCTTACAGGGCTGGTTGAATAAATCCCCCAACCCCAATATCTGATGACAGTGAAACCCCAGGGCTCCCTGGGGAGATGCCGAGGGCCCTTCAAAATGTCATCCCGAACCTCAAGGAAGAGGACTCGGGCCTGAGGCTGAATCCCTAGCTGAGTTCTCAACAGGGTTTTTTCTTAATTAGCTTTCTGTTTCCATCCCACCAGAGTGCTAGACCCGAGAGCCTAAGGGAAGAGAGGAAAGAATATAAAAATTGCAAGGTGTCCATGGCAACTGTGTGCCAAGACCCTGATACCAGGGTCATGTGACTGCTGCCAGGAACTCCTACCCTTTGCCCCACACAAAGAGCATCCAGCAACCTTTGAGAGGAGTGTGCCAGTTTCCCAGAGTTCCTAGGTATAACTAAACTAACAACACACACCCATTGTCGTGTCTCTTGACCACAGGTTTGGGCTCAAGCTCCACTCTAGTATAAATCTTGTAGGAGAGTTGCCAGAGGGGGCTGCATGCCAGAACAACCCACACCTACCCAAGCCTAGGACCTTCTGGGGCAGGGCTAAAAGCTGAGTGGTCTGCACCTCTTCATTCCGTAGTATCCCCCAACCCCATTTTGACCTGAAATTGTGAATTCTGACTGGCTTGGACTGGAATGAGCTGAGCCTAGCCCCCTTATTATCGAGAGCTGTATTTTTGTATCGTCTCCTCTCTTCTGCCGAGTATTCCTGTGTTGGACTGTGAGGTGGATTTATGTAGTAACTTCAGTCTGGAAATAAAGCAAAATAACCAATCACAGCAGAGTTTGTGCAGTCCTGGGCAGGGGCCCCGCCCACACCAGGGAGATCCAAAGTGTCCTTGGAAGACCCCAAATAGGAAGATCCAGGGGTTGACCTTGCAGAAAACTCAGGACAGCTTGGGGGCTACCCTTGAGCACCCATCAAGTGGTCAAGTCGGAGCCCCCCGAGTGCAGGAGGGTCTTCTCTTCTGCCTTGAGGCAGGGGTCGTGCTCCACTGCAGCACGCTGTCCAAACGCACCCTGGAGGCATCTGTGCAGGGCGTCGTTGCAAATCCACCCCTGTGGTTTGGGGACCCACAGTGAGGGTGAGCCCCCACCAGACCAGAAGAAGGGCTTCTTGCGCTCATCTCTCTGGCATTTTCCAAGAGTCGTCATCAGGCCTTGTTTGGAGCCGCCCACCTTGTTGGCTGGCAACCGCTTTCAGGTGGGGCATCCTCTCGACAGCGGCCGACTCAATGTTTATCCCGAAGGATTGCCCACATCCTACTGAAACATACATTTGATTTTGACCACTTAATCCCTCTGTGGGGCAGGCTCCTGGAGTTCTGGAGTGTTATGGAAGGAATAGATCTCTCTTCCAAACAGACTAAGCAAGAACACTATTAAGGATTAATACTGCTTTCTCTCCTAAGAAAAGGGCTGGGAGGGAAAGTCCATCTGGTTTGGACCGAAGGTGACAGAAGCCATTAAAATTCCTTTCCTACTTACCAGTGTTGCTTAGTAAGACAAGGGCTCATCTTCCTGTTTACACACACTGGCCTGTGGGTTGGCCAGAGAAGAGTGGGAGAAAGCTCCAACCCCATCTGCTGCTTGCCGTCGGCTCGTGCATTCTAGAGAGAGTCAAATCTGACCCAACTGCTTTAGGCATCTGGGGAGGGAGTTTCCATTCCTGGAACTGCTCTGGTCTCCGGGTCCAGGGCTCTGGGGGAAATGGTGAGATTTCAGTTCTATTCTCTTTCAGTTAGCAGCTCTCAAAGGAATACTGCTATAGGAGACATTATCTGTGCTGGAGCAGAGAGGTCACAATACCCAGCATCCTCACTGCTAAGTACCTCTTCTGGGTTCCTCAGTCCACCCTCCACAGACACCAGCAGTGGCAGCTAACTCACTACTATGCAGACAAGCCAATTCGGGGGCACCGTAACTCCTAAGGACCCTAACACAGAATCACTTATTACTGGCTCTGGCTGTAGCTGTAACTATTAAGGTGCAGGTGTTTGAAGACACTCCTCAGTGATGAACCTTATAACTCAGTCAAAACTAGATTGAATTGGAGCAATAAGTAACCCCTATCCAAATCACAGTGCCATAAAACAAGGGCAAGAGCTTATCTCATAGTTAGCCCTGGATTCAACCCTTGGCCCCAAATAACAAAAATAAAAGTAACAAACATAAATGACCAGTACAAATTTATTTTATGTTCATAAGATGTCCAGGGAGAAGGGCCTGAAGAGACGGCTTCCTCAGGAGAATGTCTCCTATGCAAGCATGGAGATTGAGTTCAGTCTCTAGGATCCACATTTAAAAAAAAAATAGCCAGGCATGGTGGCACACACCTTTTCCCAGCACTTGGGAGGCAGAGGCAGGCTGATCTCTGTAAGTTCAAAACCAGCCTGGTCTACAAAGTGAATTCCAGGGCAGCCAGGGCAGCTACACAGTGAGATCCTGTCTCAACAAAATGAAACAAGACAAAACAAAAAACCCTCAAAAAACAAAAAAAAAACAAAACAACAAAACTCAGCCAGGCTCTGATGCCAAGTCTGGAGTGGTAGAGACAGGTGCTAGGGGTTTGCTGGCCAGACAGTCTAGCCAGATCAGTGCAGTGGTTTGGAAGAACATGCCCCCCCAAGGGAGTGGCATTATTAGGAGGGGTAGCCTTGTTGGAGTAGGTGTGACCTTGTTGGAGGAAGTGTGTCACTGTGGAGGCGGGCTTTGAGGTCTCATATATGCTCAAGCCACACCCAGAGTCTCAGACCACTCTGTCGCCTGCACAAAATATAGAACTCTCAGCTACCTCTCCAACACCAAGTCTGCCTATACGCCGCCGTGTTCCACCATGACGATAATGGACAGAATCTTTGAACTGTAAGCCATCCAATTAAATGTTTCCCTTTCTAAGAGTTGCCATGGTTACAGTGCCTCTTCACAGCAATAGAACCCTAACTAAGATGATCAGTGAGCTCCATTCTTCTCAGGGAAAGACCTTGGCTCAGAAAGGAAGTGGGAAACCATTGGGGAAAGCATCCAAGGCCAACCTCTGGTGTCCACATTCATGCGCATGTGCACACGCCTACACATGTACACACACACACACACACACACACACACACACACACAGAGTATTCTTAAAATTTAGTAGGCGGTTGCTTTCTGGCAAGCCTCTTCCCAAGTGATGACAGATTCAAATCCGTCCATGAATGGACTCTGTTACTGTAAAGATTGGTAGAGAGATGTCGCTGGCTTTTCCCTGACAAGTTAACCCAGCTGGGAAGTTCAGGAAGTTGGGACCACTCCTAGAAAGATGTGCCCATCTTAACCCATGCTAAAGGAGGAAGAGGAGCAATTATCCCTTTAATGAGATACTGTATTTTTTCCTTCCTAGAATCCCTGTCTCCTAGTCCCAGGGAGCAACCCTGAGGTCCAGCTGGCTCCGCACACCCTGAGTCCTGACTCAGAAAGATACAGCTCCCCCTTTTCCCTTTCCTTTCTCTCTTTCAGGTGCTGAGTAGAGCCTACACGTTCTTTTGTTGTCCCTGCAGGCTTCCTTACTCTGTCTCTAAACCCCCACTTTCCCTGCTACCTTCTAGTGTCTGCCTGCCACCATGTGGATGACCTCCATGCCAGCTTAACTTAAATGACTTCTTCCCCTCTCATCTTTCCCATCCCCCAACCCCCCAGGTACCTGCTGAGATGTACAGTTTTCCTACCATGGAGTTTCCTTTTTAAGCTCCAATAATATCATCCTCAAGTTCCCATTTGAGTCTGTGGGACACCCCAGAATTTTCCAGAAGCAGTTCCATAGTTGTGGGATTTCCCCTACCCATCTACTCAAGTAAGAGACGAAATGTAGAGAGAACCCCACATGCAATTATGGCCACGTATGGAAGTGTTCGATAGCCCTATTACTCATATTCCATTAGCCTGATCCTGGTCACATGAGTCCCAGCTGCATGGGAGGCTGGGAAATGTAGTTTTTCTAAGTGACAAGCAGAGGAGAGTTGAGAGTGAGCCAATCTCATCTGAACAAAATCTACTTCTTCAAATGTGCTGTCTGCATCAGAAGCTACATGATGTCATCTACCTTGCCCCAAGGACCATATTCCTCTGTTTCTGTACTTCTGGCAAGCGCATCACATCTCTGATGTAGAGAATACACAAGTTGGTAAGAGGCCACACATTCTCCATCCTGTCGAGAGAGCAATGAACTGCATGGAGAGGCCAGTGGAAGTCATGTGTAACAGGCAGGAAGTAGTAGATGCAAGGGGCTGGGCCAACTTGGGGTTGGCATGCAAGGGGAGACAAGAAATGAACTCAGGGGAATGCCTTTCCTAGCTAAGCAACAGGGTGTCAGCTGTGCACAGGACATCAGGGACTAAGGAGCTGACCCACTTGGATAGAGCGTGCTACCTCAGCGAGCCAGACCCACCAGCTTGCTTGTGAGTGTGTCCTGTTTCTCAGAATCCCTCTCCACAGCATCCTGGAAAGCCCACAGATTCTGTTTGCCTAGTAATGGCTGGATCCAGGTCTGTATCCCACCCTGGGTGACACCACAGTTCCCTTCAGGTCATCTCTTGTTCTCCTGTCACTGATTTTTCAAGTGGTAGCCATCACAGACATGAACACAGACCTTCCTCCTAAGAGCAGACATGATTAGGACAAGGTCTGAGTGGGAAATTACGGTGTGGGATGGAATAACTTTAAAGCAAGGTCCTGGGAAGCCGAGCACCAAAAGTCCTTGGTTGTGAAGGGGTCTCCCCTGCCCTCCTTTGAACCTCACCTCAGCTGTAGGTGCATCTGCCTGCAGGGGATGGCATTTGAGTTCCCCACTCCTAGTCTACGAGCCCTCTTTACCTTCTCTGCACTTAATTGGGTCTTAGCCTTTTTCTCAAATAGCTCAATCACCTTCCCATACAATTCTTCCACAGCAAGCATAACTAATAACGAGTCTGTTCTTCAGCTTGCTCAGTGCTGGAGTAGAATTCTGGTATTACTATTGTAAAAGTCAAATCCAAGAACATATTCCCCAAAACACGAATCCTAAGGTTGTTGGCAGCCTTTCCATGGTGATGGCAGTTTCTCTTGTAGCTGTCTTTGATTTTAATTGTTAGGTACCCTCTTGATCAGAGTCCCTTGTGGTGTAGAATTTGTTGTGAACAAAAATGATAACTCAAAGAGACCTGGGCAGCAAGGCTGCAGAGCCAAGGTGTGTTCACTGGGCTGTGAGGTCTCAGGTGGAGAACTGGCCTTCATTTTGAGTGTCTCCCATACGCACAGGTTTGGACCATGAAGATATGAACCCTGCAGGCAAGAACCCTGGCTAGAATAGCAAATGGAGAGCAGACACTAAAGTTCACACTGAAGTTGCTTCTCTCTTTACATTTATGCTTTATTGGAGTGTAACATCTATACTATGTGTTCCTTCTTTACAATGAATGCCCCTAAAGAACCATACCAGACATGTTTAAAGAAACAAAACAACATTTAGTAGGCTCAGATCCCACACAAGTTGTCATCCTGATGTCAGGATGAAGCATATAATGGGGTATGGTCAGTGGCTCAGTTTCTGCTTTTGCTGAGAAGTGTCGGGCTGGAGGTTGTGAAAGATCAGGATGAGCTCTGAGGTTTGCCTGAGCCCTGAGCAGGTCTGGCTCGTCTTTGAGCTCTACTGGCAAATATGGATTTCTTCCCACACAAAGAAGGCATAGACTCTGGCTAGGGTTGTGTAAGAAGGAGTGAATAGAACTGAGGGACAATGGGTGCGA